ATTGCTTAGAAAACCGCAATTGAAAGAAAAAGAACTGATAGATCAATAAATTCTATAATAATAGTATATTCAAGTATCTAGAAATCATCCCTCTTTATTTATTTATTTTTTTTGAGAGGGCATCTCTCATATTTATTGATCAAATGGTTGTTAACAGTTAACAACAATAAAATTCTGTATAGGGGACTCAATGCACAATCATTAATCCACCCCAAGCCTAATTCTCATCAGTCTCTGATATTCTGAAGCACATCTAACAAGTTCTTACATGGTGAACGAATTCTTACATAGTGAATAAGTTCTTACATGGTGAACAGTACAAGGGCAGTCAACACAGAAACTTTCGGTTTTGATCACACATTATGAACTATAAACAATCCGGTCAGATATGAATATTCATTTGATTTTTATACTTGATTTATATGTGAATCCCACATTTCTCCCTTATTATTATTATTATTATTTTTTTTAATAAAATGCTGAAGTGGTAGGTAGATGCAAGATAAAGATAGAAAACGTAGTTTAGTGCTGTAAGAGAGCAAATGTAGATGATCAGGTGTGTGCCTATAGGCTAAGTATTAATCCAAGCTAGACAAGGGCAACAAAACATCCACAGATGCAGATTTCTCTCAAAACAGGGGGGTGGTGAGGTTCTAAGCCTCACCTCTGTTGATCCCCAATTTCTCACCTGATGGCCCCCTTGCGACTGTGCCTGTCTTAGGTTGTTCCTCCCTTGAGGAATCTTACCCATCTCTGGCTAACCAGTCATCTTCCGGGGCCATACACATCCCTCTTTATATTTAATGATACAATTACACCTCAGATTTGTTCTATACTTATAAACAAAAGGCTGAAGAGGTGAATTTGAAGCTGTTCATGAGCGAATTTGCATATCAACCATTCGTTCTCAACAATTCTGATTTTATGACCATCTCCCATCCATTCCAATTTGACAGAAAAAGTACAGGCTTGGAGTCAGATTTGGCTATCCCACTGGTTCTATTTAAATTAGTTATGGAATTTAAAATGGCCTTATGGCCCCATTCTGTTTTCCATGAAGACTAAAACAAGGTGAGTTTTTTTTGTTTGCCAGAAAACAGGGCTATGGTTTTATGCCGGCTGGCTATGGTTTTATGATTGTATGTCCCAAAGAAACCACCTTTTCTCTGAGTTATGCACCTGTGGGCCACTATGAAAGCATGTCACAGAGTTGGAGGTCTTGGTGTTTTTTGGAAAGGGTGGAGGTTGGGAGAGGATGATAACTAACCAAATTACTGTTTGGAATTTCTGGTTTGAGTAGTTCCCTGAAACTATGCCCTGGTATTTAAACTACTCCCTCACTCAAGTTATAACACCTTACATTTCATAGGCTTGTATCTTATATCATGTATTATGCAGAGTTCTAGTAGTTTCTTTAACCTCCAGATTTTCCCTGGTCAACAGCTGAAAATTCAGGTTTTTTAGTTCCAATTTGGTTGTTCCAAATGAATTTCTGGGGTGGTTTTTAAATAAATATGTATTAAAAATTACTCATCACTTTTCATCTTCAGATAAAGTATTCATTAACTATCTCTGTAGATACAAATTATACCTACATTACTTGCTGGAGATAAGGAATAAAACAGGATTAAACAACAAGCTCTAGGTCAGAAATAGTGTTCTGTTAGAAGCTGATTTACAACCCATTTGTAATCATCTAAGTTGGAAGGCAAGGCAAGGCACAGGCAACTGGAGTCAATAGGAAACTTAGTTTTCAATACTGCCTTCACTGCCTTCTCCCCTTTACTGGGTTTGGTAATAAGTCACAAAATTAATGGGTCTTAGTTCTACCTCTATTGTTTAATACCTTACTGAGTTAAAAAACTTTTCATTTTTAAAGTGTACAGAGTTCTCCCATTTTTCCTATACAACTTTAGTAACAATCAGTTTTTAATTTCATTTCTTAATTACATTAAATTTTATCCATCCAGCAAATCCTTACTGATTCTGCCTCCAAATGACAATGTATTTCTAAATCATCTTGCCCCAAACTACTCCATTACCATGTGTGTGAGAACCTGTAACTACAAACTTCAGAGCAAAAGGAATCAAATGGTGATGGAAAAGGAATGAAGGAAGCTGCCCTTCGAGCACAGCCAGCAGCGTGTCAGTCTCACAATCTGAAGGAATGTAGTAAAGAGGAAATATAATGCTGTATCCTTTAAAGCAGTGAATTCCTATGTAAAAGAAAAGTGGGAAAAAAGAGTCTAGTGCATGAAAGGTATATGAGGGGGTCAAGAAAGGAAAAAAAGAGAAAAAAGAAAAAGCTAGAGATGGGGAATGGAAAGGCAGAGAGAAGGAAAGTTCCAGGCTAAATGGCTAGGTAGAAGTTATTAAAATTCTTTGGTCTTGTACCTAATTTAAGGACATGTACTAATTAGCTGGTTGTTTTAATATGACACACAGTAAAGGATTATAATGAATAGAGAAACAGCTTTTATGTTGACAAGAACTACAAAGTATTATTTGAAAGTTTTATCTGAGCAAATCTATAGGCTTCCCCTGTGGACATATTTCACTTATGGGTAATTTAAAAAATATGAACTGTTGAGGATATTTACATATTTCCTTGAACGGATACCATAGCATTCATATACTTGATTCATTCACCAGTTGTTAAAAAGACCTTAGGGTAAAAAACTCGAGTCAGATACAGATATAACACCTCATAAACCTGCAAGAGTCCTCATGCAAAGTTCATATATTTGAAAGCCAAGGGAATCAACTAACTTAGAAAAAGGAATGTCTTATCTTAAACAAATATATAATATTTTGGATTTTTTCATTTACTATTTTAAATTCTCCAAGTAAACTTAAGGGTACAGATATGAGTTATACCTATACGGGGTCTACTACAACATTCATAGTGCCTTGAAAATAATAAGAAATGTATTCAACATACTCAATAATTTATTTCACATTACTTGGTTTCCCAAACTTAGTGCCATCAGTTTTAAAGCTCAAAACTAACTACTATACTACAAGCCTCGAACTGTACATGACTGAAGTCTTAATTTACTTTATTCATTTATCTTTCCAAAGAGTCTGGTAAGACTTTCCAGTACCTACCCATTGAAATGCTTTTTCAATATCATTAAGAAATGATTATGTTTGGTAAAGCCTTTAAAGCAATGGTAGAGCCCTCAAAGTTGTCAATGTTAAGTCTTCATGTCCTGCTCCTGATTTATTCAAGTAGAATACATCCTGAATTATAAATAATATAACAGTCTGTCCACTGAAATAGGTTATAGTCACGTATCAATTACTTAATAGGAAATAAAACTGAAAATTAAATCTAGAGAGAACATAAAAATCTTAGGTACCTGAGTGATTTCTATTTCTTTTTTATAGGTCTTTTATTAGGGCTACTTATACACATAAAAACTGATGAATTTTCTTCTCACCTTTTTTTTTAGAAATATAAAAATTATCAAACCTCACTCAGATGAAATTTTTTTAAAGTATACAGATGTTTAGATGGGCATTCTTCATAAGTATCACCACCTATCAGCAAGTTATACTTGCTTATCAAAGACCTTTCATTTCTATTTCATAAACAAATGCCTACCATTATTTAGGTCCTTATTATACTTGTTAATAAAGAACTAATCTTTGGAGTAGAAACCACAGGAGAATTTAGTGGCCCAAAAGTGAATTATCAAATTCAGGAGAGTGGTTACCTCTTGGAGCATCATTAGGGAATGTGGGCATACAGAGAGGAGGAGGATAAGATATGTATCTGCTTTTAATTTCATTTCTTGAGCTGGGTAGCAGCCACAGAGGGCCCTTTATATTTTTCTCTGTACTTTTCTCTATATATGAAATATTTCGTTAAAAAAAAAAAGTGAATTAGTAAACTGATACGGACCCAGCCTGGGTGATCAAGGTAAAGTGATTCAAGTCCTGACTTCAGTCCTACAAATCTGTTGCTGGATGATTCATTTTGTGATCCACGTGCCTCAGTTTCAGTAAAACATAAAAAATACTTTGTAGGGATTTCGTTTGTCAAGTTCTCAGGGGAAAACATACATTAAATCCTGAGGCATTCGAGAGTGTTACCTGTGTTCTCACACTTTTATATTTTTCTTTAAAGTGACTGACACTTCAATTCTGAAAAAAAGTAGCCCAGGCCTGGACATGTTTTTTACTTCCTAAATCAAAGAGAAGGTATAAATCTTTTTTTTAATCGTATAGTGTCAAGAAGTGATTCACAGGCTTTGCCCCACTTTGCTTGTACTTAGCAATGCTTTAATGAACATCCACTTAAAACTATTTTTCCTACCTTTCCAAAACCCCATTAGGTTGGGAAAATGAGTCTTCTGTGGCAATGGACTTCTATTTCACTTAGAAGCTCTGGGCTACACTTAAAACTATCAGCTTGGTCTCCAGCTATCTGAGACAGTAATACTTCACACGTAAAGCAGTAACTTCAGAAATGTTTATACTGAAGTGTTGCCTTATGAGAAATGGAAACACCAGCACAATGGAGACAGCCTGAGATTTATCTGGAAAATATGTAACTGAGTCTAAAAAATTAAGTCAATTCTTAAAAATGGTCCTGTTTTTAGAAGCCAACAGTTGTAGTTCTATGCCATATATACATGTATCAATTGCCTAAGTCCTGCAAAATACTAGCAAAACAACACTGAATTCTATATACGAGTTCTAGTAGCACTTACTTATCTTCTGCAAGGGCAAGAAATTACCAGATGGTTTCTTGGTAATATATATATATAAAAACCTCTAAAGGGATCAAGTAAAACAAAACTATGAGTGGTAAATTAATATAACTGAATGAAAAACAATTTAGATATTTTCATTCATTCTTCACAAAGTTATATACATCTTAAAATTATAAACATCAAAATCCTCATATTCAAAGCCCTATAAAATATTTACCTCCACCTGTAGATCTGCCTTGCCTCTGTCAAGATTTTGATTCTTTGACTTGTATTACTCACCATTTGCATCTGGATTTACCGGTCTTGAGATGTCAGCTTGTCCCATGATTATATTGTCTGATGTGTCTCACGACAACAAACTGTCCCGGACCAAAGAAAACTTTTCTTAAAAGATAAATCCACGTAAGGAGGGGACATGAGCTCCTCTCTCAGTGTCACGGACAAACATCACAAAATGGCATGAGGTCAGTTAATCTGCTGGAGTTTCTGTTCGCTGTATCCCGGCCTGGGCACTTGAGGTTCGTACCAATATGTCTTCACGCTGGCTCTCTTCACACAGGAATGCCTGTCATTCCAGAGTGTACACTGTGAAGAGCTCAAGTGCAGGAAGGGGAGGGACTGCCAACCACATTCTAGCTGCTGGGCGGCACAGCCCTAAAAGGCCACACCTACTTTTCCTGACACTGAACTTGCTTACAACTCTTCAGACTCATAGCCACAGGAGAGTCTGCTCAAGAGTTTACCAAAGAACTTGTAAATTTAATCACACAAAGAACATCAGGGTTATGTGTAGCAGGCTAATGGGAGCAGATGTCCATTCAAAGGTATGTTCGAGATACAGGCTTACCTTAAAACTAGCAGACTGTTCTCATGTTTCACAGCTGGCTCTAAAATTGTTATTTCCTACCTATGAGTGGATTATCCAAAGCAGGATAAGATCAACATATTGGGAATTAATTATACTAGGAACAAGATTGTTGGATTGAATATACGTCTTCTAAAAATAAAAAAATATTTCTCAAAATTTTGCTACTAAAATAGTAAACTTGAAAGAAACACTTGGAGGGTATTATATAATATTTCTCTTTCTGTTAAAGTTTATTAACCACCATATGTCCTTGGGGAATACAAAATTATAGGGAGTAGCCCCACATGCTGGATATAATACATGGAAAAGCACATGCAGCAACCGAAGATCCAGCTTGTCTAGTCATTTTTTTAAACTGAGAAATAACTAATTTATATATAGGCAAACACATAAACATGAAGAATACAGCTCGATGAATTTTTACTTACTTATATACCTGTGTAGGTTAACCCTAAATATTCTAAACATAAAAAAGCCACACACAATACAAATTTAACGACAGTGTTTAGCCACATACTTTGGATTACTTCACAAACAACTGAAGGCAAAATAGGGAACTCACAATTTCAAGCAATTTTACATTGGTTATTTTAATTAATCATCACCACAACTAAGCATGCATTGTGCAGAATATATTTATCGTATTATCAGATAAGAAAACTAAGACTAATGAGATCAAATCCTGTGTCTTATGTCATCATCTAGTCTGTAAGTGACAAAGCACTCACTCCTTCAGCAAATGACATCTACCAAAAACACAGATTTTTTTTTTAGTTGAAATCTAGTTCTCCCAACTGAGATAACAGAAATTTTCTCACATGAACTATCCTTTTGACTTCCCTTGGCACCTTCTTCTTTTCCCCTATTGTTTTATCCCAATGGGTTTTCTGCTTTTTTTATATAGGAAAAAAAACCCAGCCAAAGTAACAAATGAAAAAATGACAATGCTAAGGCATCAGTAAGAAAAAGAAATGTAGAATACTCAGGTGACACTAACTGTCAATATTGGTAATAGTCAGAAAAACATTATAATGTTGACCATTATTAGTACAGGAAAGAATAAAAGGAAAATACAATTAAAGAATGCTCCAATGTAAGATGTCCAGTATCTTTGAACCCTGGCACTTAAATTTATTAGCCCAGAAGTAGAACATGTGCCATAGCAATTTCTACTACTATAAAATGGGGCATCCAGTAGGTGCTCAACAGACTGTGCTATTAATCATCATCTCTATCATCTTCATAGGCACAGTATAGCATACTGCTTAAGAGGATGAGCTTTGTAGGCAACTGAAATTTTAATTCAGGTGTTAATACTAGGCAAGTTATTTCACCTTGGTTTTCTAATTTGTAAAATGGGCATAACAATATTTATCAGAACAGGGAGGTTATAAGGATTAAATGACATGAACATAAATAAAGCCCTTTGCAATGTGCCTGGCAGACGGAAAGCTCTCAATAAATGCAAGCCATAATTATCACAGATGTTATAGTAAGAAGAAAAAAAACCACGTCAAGAAAGGAAAGGCCAGGTAGGGAACACAGGCAATGGTACACAGCAAAAAACTCAGTCATTACAAAGAGATTAGTCAGAAACGGAAGAGGATGACATTTCTGTATCATGAATCCAGAGAGCAACTTGGAAGAAGCAGGCCAAGGAGGAAGTCTGAACAGTCAGGGCTGGTGTACAGAAACATCAAGCAGATGGAACATCTCAGACAGAAGTAATAGCCTGAGTAAGTTTAAACCAGGCACCTTAAAAACACACACACAACACGGCCCAGAAACAGTACTGTAGAATCTAGTTTATATTGACAGGACCATATAAGAATAGAACAGATAGATTTGTGCATCCTGGTATAATTTCTGTTTACCGCCTGCCAAGTTTAAACGTTCATCTTGGCTTGGCTCACTGCTGATTCTAGGGCATTGTGAAAGCAGCAATAAAACTTTAAGATAATGAGGGGATTCTTAGTGATCATTTGGCTCAGACCAGGACTAAAACCCAACTCTCCTGTTTCCAACTCTAAGACTCCTGCTCTTGTATGAATGGTCAAGGAAATAAATATAATTTCCTAAAGATATATTCCTCTCCCAAGGAAATCAATGCTGTACAACAACAAATCTCTCACAAATGCTAACTCTGTTGCCAATGTACCAATCCAATCCATGTTTCCTGGTCAGCATGCTTCTGTGCTTCATTCTAATAATCAATATTTACTTTGTGTCAACTGGTAAGCAGATACCCAGAGAGGGGGAAGTACTGGCCCACTGATGGCTTTAAGATTTAACAATTAAAGCCTTGGGGGAAAAAAAAGGCTTGCATTCATTCTAGTTTTCCAGGCACTATATATATATGTAAAAAAATTTTAGGTATCGTTGATATACAATCTTATATTGGTTTCAAGTGTACAACACAATGGCTCACTAGTTACCCATATTATTAAATCATCACCTCCACTAGTGTGGTTACTATCTGTCAACATAGAAAGATGTTACATAATCATTGCCTATATTCTCCAACCATGCAATATATTTTAGAAATACAAAGGGAAGTCTCACATTAAACTCTGTAAGAAGTAGACAACTATCTCTTCTTAATTGTCACATAATCAGAGATATTCTCTTTTTAGAGTACTTTCCCTCCATGGCTTACTGCCTCAAAGAATGGGGGGAAAGTAACAGATTAAAATTTGTGAACCTCTTCCTATTTGATTTATGGACACAGCAAGTAAGGCCTTATAAAAATAAAGTTTAATAGCTACAGTTTAGATGTAGGCAGCATTTGAAGCCCTCTAATCAGAGCCTCATTTTATAGAGAAAGGTTTCTAATCACTGCATGTAACCAATAAAAAGCTGAGCATTCAAAACCTTTAGAAACATTTACAATTCCAAAACTTTTTGTTGGCAAGCACGTCATATCATATGCTAACACGAGAACATGCTGTATATTTCCAATAAATAGTTATAAGAGCAAACACAAGAGTATTAAATGCTTTAATTTAAATACACTTTTGCGCTTAAGTACCAATATAAATTGGATTACTTAGGAGAGTAAGCTCTCAGCTATTTTAATCACAACTCCCCCAGTTTAATTCACCGTACTACTTTCTTACTGCCCGAGATGTCTCAAGGAGGTATGCTCTACTGACAGGTTAGGAAGAAAGTTACTTTCCTCTGGGGAGGTTGACCAATAGAAATGAACAGGTCACACCATTAAATATTCAAGTAGAAGCTAATTTTCAACTTCTGGGTATATAACCAGGGGATGGAGTAGCTTCTTCTTCTTTACACCCCATGCTGTAACTAATATAGTCTAGCTGGCTTTGGCTAGTTAAGTGTAGGTAACATCCTACAACCGACCACCTGTGTCTCAAACTCCATGTGGGAACTAGAAAGCCTTGCTTGTCACTTGTAAACTCTTCATTTTCTCATCCATTTGTCCAAAATGTTCCCTTGGCCTGGAATTTCTTCCCCAGAACCATGTAGGGAACTCCTACTCATCCTTTAAGAACTGGCTTAAATGTTGCTTCCATTATTCGGGAGCCTTTCCTTGGTCGCTCAAGCAGAATTCCAATAAAGATTTACTGCTCACTGATTATGTATCCAGTGATGTGCTGATGCTAAAAACAAGAGTTTTTGCCCTTCGGGGGCTTAAGTAAGTTCAAGTAAATAAGAGCTACAGTAGAGTGCGACACCTACTTAGGTTCTATGCAAACACAGACTGGTGTGTTGGAGGCGTGTCTAGCTTTGTCCTGAGAGAACAGAGAAAGTATCTTGAAAGAAGTGACATTTGAAATCTGAGTCAGTCACAGAAGGGAAGACATGTGAGAAAAAGGTACAAGCATCGAGAGGTAGAGCTGATCATGACTGACTGTGCTGGACATCTCTCCCCAAATGCAATCATCTTCAGACTTCTAGAACAGGCTAGAAACTTCTCATGGGCAGGGACCAGATACATTTATCCTTAAATCCTCAACACTTGGCACAACTTAGAGCACAGTGGACACATAACTATCAATTAACCTTGAATACAAGGGAAGAAACGGACTCTTCAATTTTAGGCTTCCTCATAGAATCTAGTAATAAAAGGCAATTAAGGTGAAAAAGTGCTACAGATGGAGGCTGAAGGCAATGTAGAGATCATGAACTATTTTACCATCCCAAACAGTCCTGAGAATTGCTGCTGTGAGATGCTTGCTTTAGCGGGGGGGTGGGAGGGGAGGCATGTTCACGATGGTTTCCAAAAATTTACTGCTTTACAAGGAGTAACAACTTACAAGGGAGACAAATTTGTCAGGTGGATGTTTACATAAGATGTCACGTAATCACCACTGTTAGTCTCAAGATCCTCAGCAGAAAGTTTCTGTACTTCATGTGAACCAGCCTGAAGAACAGGCTGAAAGGGACAGAGGAGGTTAAAGTTAAGGCAGGGCTGCTGGTATCACCAGACTCTCTTTTCAGTTACCCCAAATAACACTGATTTCTTTCTGTGGCTGGGCGCAAAAAAACAAAACTAAACTAAATACTCCTGCTCCTATTCTATACCAAGTGCTGCAACTCTGGTTCCCTGCCTACCCCCACTTCCAGAAGGCTTGCCACTGTAAGAAAGCAGAGGCTCTGCAGTCACATACAGCTATGTAAAATTTCAATTTTCCCATTTTACTGATTAAGTGACTCTGAACAAGCTACTTATG